AGGATGAACGGACTGACTCTTGACAGTAGGTGTCGTTTGCCGGTTCTGCAGCGATGGCAGAGAAATCTAGCTCGGTGGGCGTTGTCGCACTAATGCTAATGCGCGATAACGCGTCAGCAACATAGTTCGACTTGGGCTGCACATGTTGTGAACTGTGAAATAAAGTCTGAATGTCTGGTTTCTCGTGGAGAATAACGATCAGACTTGGTATGCAAAGCATACGTTAGCGGCTTATTGTCGGTGAGACGGGTGAAATCCCTACCTTCAACTGCATGCCGAAAGTTCTTGATTGCACCGTAAGCAGCTAGCAGTTCTCGACCAAAAGCACTATACCTCGTTTCTGTGTTAGTGAGGCGTCGAGAATAAATCTTGAGAGGCTACCACATCGCAGAAACGTGTTGCTGCAAGACTGCTCCGATGGCGTAATCATAGGCATCAACCGCTATGCTAAGCGTAGCTGATGGATCGGGATGCACAAGGAGTGTCGTACGTGCTATACACTCTTTTACCTCTTGGAACGCTACTCGTGCGGAATCTGTAAGTATGAGCTTACGTGGATTGCCCGATCGATCAAGTTCACACTTATCAGGATTGACCACTATTTGATGACCAGATAAACGTTTAAATAGCAAAGTCAGATGGTGATGATGTTCGTCTACAGTGAATGATGCTATTAATAAATCATCGATATAGATGCGAACAAAGTCTAAGTTTCGTGCAATGCTATCGATAAACCTTTGGAAAGTCTGAGCAGTATTTCGTAAACCAAATGGCATACGTAGGAACTCAAACAGACCAGAAGGAGTCGTGACAGCAGTTCTTGCAATGTCTTCAGGAGCGACTAGGATTTGGTGGTAGATGCGCACCAAATCTATTTTCGAAAAAATAGTCGAACCATGAAGTGACGCGGTGATGTCGTGTATGTGGGAAATATGGTAGCTATCAAAACGATTCACTGCGTTAAGTGCTCGATAATCGCCACATGGTCGCCAGTTAATGCCGTGTTTTTAAGGACCATGTGTAAAGGAGAGGCCCATGGACTGTGAGAGGGACGAACAATGCCTTTTTAAAGCAGTGTCGAAATAGCGAAAACTAATTTGTCCGATGCCAGTCGGCGAGGTCGTGCCGTGGTCGGTGGTCCTTTAGTGACTATGTAGTTAGCCACACGATCTGTCACTAGGTTAATCTCTTCAATAGGTTTAGTCAAATTGGAGAAGCTTTCCATTAACGAGTCGAGCAAATCATTTAAGATACCTGTGATTCGGTGAACGTCTGTGCGCCCTTTGAGGCCCGTGGATTTAATGTTCGACGAAGTATCAATCTACCGCAGTCTACGTGAATCAACGAGTAACTCGTAGAACTGCAGAAAATCGATACCCCGGATACATGTAGGAACGTCCGCGAGAATGAACGTCCACAGATACCGTCGTTGAGGCCCCAGGCTAACCGCTAGTCGTCGTGCACCGTAAGTAGGAATGGGATGCCATTCGCAGCGCACAACCGAAGTTGTGAAGCACGAGGCTTGCTGCTACCGACAGGTGCGACAGAAATTTGGGCTCCCGTGTCAACGAGAAACCTAGTGCGCGTATAATAACCTTGCACGAAAAATAGGCGGCCAACCTAGGGGTGGGTGGGCCGGCGAGTACGGCCGCAGTTACCCGCCGGTGATGACTTTTCCAGCGACGTAAGTACATGGGGGCTTAAATCTGCGGGCTCCTGGTCAGTAAGTTTTATGAAACCAGCAGTAACCGTCCCGAGCCGATTTTGTGGGTTTAGACTTAAGACGTTGAGCCCAAAGGCGGGTGGGTTTCGCAGCCTTAGTGCGCCCTCGGCGTGCCCGGTCCCGAGAGACTTGCGAGGTGTGTGTGGGACCCTATCCTTAAAGGATAGGCGTTCATGAATGCAGCGTTGTTTACCGCGCCGTGCCGAACGTGGCGGGATAGACTGATGTGAAATCGTGGTGACGAGCAAAGGCCATAATTTTGTCTACGATGGAAGCGATCTTATCGATCGATGTATCCTCCAGGATAGCTGTTATTGTGGTTTGAACATGACGATGTCCGAATGGGCATCGTGAGATCCGGCGAGGGATCTCGGGTGAGATAGGTGCTGGCTGGGCTTGGCTTCACCCATGGGGTTGCTTGCCAATAACTTCCACAGCCTTTCCTCGGATAAGAGGAGAGCGTCGAGAATCGCCGATTTCAATTTATCAAATAGATACTCCCGGGGAGTGGATTCTCGCGGAACGATGCAACAGTTTTCGATCGTATAAAACAAACGTCACGTGGCCCTAGGTACTGAAGTGAAAATGTGAACATACATTTAGATTGTCGAGGAAAAATGATATCTGGCAAAAGTCTGATATGATCCGGTTTTCATCGTACCATCGGGCACACTACAAACTAATCCGATGTTCTTCCTTTATTGGGTGAGTGCAGCTTCCCTTATGGTGGGTGTCGGTACATCCTGCTGACCGTCAATCATCCCGGTAATCTGAGAGCTATTGACTGGGTNGGTTTGCTGTGATAACACGAGGAAGGACCTTCACTTTTCCCGGCAGCTTCTAGGAAGTGGCGTTTATCCTGTCTGGAGGGAGAAGCCTTCGACTAGTGGTCTTGTGAATCTTCAAACGGGCACGCATAAGTGTACTTACTTTACTTTACTGCGCCGGGCCCCTTGGGAAGGATAAGTCAGTTCCAGACGTGATCATGAAGTTCCTTGGGAGTTTGGTTCGAGAAACGTCCCCCAGTGTCACTCGGCGTTTTCTTTAGGGCTCACCTCTAGCCTTTGCACAACCAAGTGCGAACTGCAAGACAGCAGGAAGTACTCCCTCGCCTCGGAAGTAAGGGGGTCAATGACTAGTTTTTAAAGGCCAGTCACATCGACCTTTGTCACGACACCTTCGTTGGGTTTATGCGGCTTTTAAACAGGAGCCAGGTGACCATCCTTAAACCCACCACACCCTGGTAGTGCCGCCTCTGTTTGTTAACGGCTGCTTATTTTTTACAGTGTGCCACAACTCATTCACAGCTATCCTTCTTCGGTGAAGGTATCCCCCTATCCACAACCCGGGGATGCACCTGGTAGCATTCAGATCTGCTTAATCCGAAGGTAGCCAGGACGCATCAGTGTGGTCAATGCTGTAGCTTTTCTGTAGTCTTCAACTGACGATACCCTCAACACCTCGCCCGAATGTAGTCAGTTTGATGTAGCGTCCTGCCGACTTTCGAATATCAGTACACCTGGGATGTTGACGACAAACAGGAGGTTGAAGCCAGAAAATTTGACTGTTCATTCACCGTTCCCGCATTGGCTGCGTAGTTCAAATTATCTAAAAATGTGCAAGTGTACAATGGTCCTGTGCGCGCCTTCCAGTTTCCTACTAAGAAGAGAATATCGCCTCTGGGTATTCGATCTATGGTACTTCGGAGCTGCTCTTATAAATCGCTTTTGATGTTCGTGTCTGCCTGCAACCTTGATGCGTAGACGGATAACACCGATAGGGTTTTAGGCGTTACTTTGAAACGGTTATGTTAATAATTGGGTTGACAGGTGCCATACGATCATGGCGCTTTTAGCTAGCGTGCTTAGTGCAACGCCATCTCATAAAGGTGAGATATTGGTCAGCCAGATACGAAGCGTAATAGGAGGCTTGCACACAAGCAAGGTTCACTCGTCATATTCCGGAATGCGATAAGCGGGCCTCTGACAGGCAAACCACATCCATCCGATAATCATAAAGTGTGCACATCGAGATGCACTGGCTTCCAGTATCGTGCGCACGTTATGTAGCTTAATCCTCATCGCACCTGTTCACGATACCCCGTATTTTTTCTAGCATTTACTTTAACTTATCTCCGAAATGAACTAATTGGCTTTAAATTCGAGGGAGAACCACCAATGAATCAACTCCCGTTGCTCTGTGAGTGAATGTTCAAGATCATGTTTGCTATCAGTCTCACTTTCCTATAGCTCTCGGTGTCATTAAAAGCTTATACTGACTTAGTCCGGTCTCAATGGTTGTTTTTAAAAACTTTATCTGTACATTTTTATCTGATTTAGTTGCATCTGCATATTAACCAAATTTTACTTCTTTCCCGAAAGGTCCCGAAAGGCATCATTCGAAGTGCAACGATTAGAACACTATTCCTTGTTGGTTACTCTTCTTATTCACTCTCACATTGTTATCTATCTAACACTGGTTATTGATATGCTAATATATCTCGATACGGTATTGTTTCTGATTATCTAATTACTCACCACATGATCCTTTTACAGGTCAAATTGGGGTTGTTTCCTCCTCCGAAATCCCAACCTCAATCGGGAGAAAAATCGTCTTCAACCGGTGTAAGACGCATAGATCCCTCGGATTCTGAGAAAGCTGCTGCAGAAAAGAAAGCTGCTGAAGAGGATGCATTAGAAGACGCTGATGATCCGGAGCGATTGCGTAAGGCACGCGATTGGGATGCGTTCAAAGATGATCATCGCCGGGGTTGCGGTAACCGAATGAATCGAGCCTGAACTCCCGCTACACGTGCTTGTTTTGTACAAATCTGTCCGCTTGTAATGCAATTGTTTTATTGAACAAGGTTCTCTGTCTTCTTTTTTGGTCCCGGGCGCTCATTTGGTTTTTGCCTTCTTTGCTTTAATTCTTCTCTTCCGTTTGGTTATTTTCCATCATGAAATCATTCTGCCAAAGCTAACTAGTATTTTTGTAAGACTGTTTCTGTTTTGCAATCTGCCTACCTACCTACCTATCTCAGATGTATTCCCGAGCAGTGGTGTGCTGAGTCCAACTATATTTCCTATCGAAGAATTGGCAAATTAAGTTATTGATATAAAAACTGATTAAGTTTTATTTAAGTGCCGTGCACAATGTAAAATCGGAACGGTGTGTAAGCACTGTCTAGAGTGTCGTCTGTTTCTCATTCAAACGAATTGGACTTGACTTCAACTGTTAGCTCATTAATATACTGATTGGTGTTCCAACCCAACTTAGTTGGTGAGATCGACCGCATCGGAGTCGTACACAAATAATGGGATGTTGGAAGTTGTCACCCTTACGGATGGAATTAAACTCGGTAGGTTGCCATGAACTTACAAAACGTGCTATACAATCTCTGATTATCATATCTACCGGCACTGATTGCTTACCAGCACTTGCAAGTTCAAAAACTAGCCAATCCTATATGTCCGATCATATTTCACAGTTATCTGTGTGACTCCGAGAGCATCAGCATTGTCGGGGGTAGGCATCTTGGTTGGTGGATGGCTGCCCTTAGTTTTCACCTCGCGAAAAGCCCCCCTACGACCAAGCGTTTCAAACTGCCCCTGTTGAGAAATTCCTACTTACTGCCCTGTTGTGGTGGAGGTGTTTTCCCACCAAAGTGAGGGGACGCAAAGCCAATCTCCGGAGCTATAATCGGGTTGGTGAATATCTGGCAGTTCACTTAGGGCACATGGCTAAAATATATATATTCAACACGTAACCAATTGCGGAGAATTGGCAAATGTGCCACAGCACATGGTGAAAAAGGTTCAAATACAAATAAACGAATAGGAGTTTCACTACAGGTGCACCATTGATAACGGTTTTGAACAAAGTTGGCTAGTGATTCAGACCATAGATGTTCGTTGTCCCCTGGGAGCCTAGGCCGTCCTACAACTACCAGTTTTGAGGTTAACTCTTTTGTTCGAACCCAGATTAACCGTTGTTCACCTCATCGCCACTTCCATATATTGTTAGCCTGTCCAAACATAATACGATGGGACAGTCGTTGAACCGGCATGGCTAAAACCCCGATTCAAAACCAATTGAGTGGAGGCGTACGAACCACACACCTTTGCGACCATAGTGTTAGTCGTGTACCTCTCACACATTGAGTATTTTTGGAAAATCTCTCATTACGTGTCGAAATACTATCATGAAAAGAACTAGAAATAGTGGATGTAATTATTCAGGAATATTACTGGCAGACTTTCAGAGGCTCACTGCGGAAGGATACGACTGGACCTTACTCAGTTTCAGCTGAATTAGCATATGTTAATGACGAGTGGATTGAACTACAGCACCACTTTTCCATAGGTAATTTGCATTAAGTGTGGGCTAACCCACTGAGTTGCGTTACCATAGCTCAGTATGGTCGGGGGTGGGTGTCTAGGGTTGCGGCTGGTCACCCGTCCCTTGCACCTCCCGAAATGCTCCCATACGATCAAGCGTCTCAAATAGCCTCTGCTGAGGAAGTCCTATTCACTGCCTTCTCGTGGCGGAGGTGTTTTTGCACGAAAAACCGATATCCGGGGCCATAACCGGGTTGGTGAACCACTGGCAGTTCACCTAGGGGAGTTGGCTAAAAACCCTTATTCTAAGCCAACCAAGAAGAGGCGTACGAACCACACACACTTTCCTGGTTGCGGCAGTGTTCACTGGCTCAATTGAGCATAGCTCTGTTGGGCACNGTTTTTGCACGAAAAACCGATATCCGGGGCCATAACCGGGTTGGTGAACCACTGGCAGTTCACCTAGGGGAGTTGGCTAAAAGCCCTAATTCCAAACCAATCAAGAGGAGGAGTACGGACCAAACGTTTCCGGCTGTGGCAACGGTAACCGGCTCGATTGGGCATCGAGGTGTATGGGGCACCTTGGACGTTTGATCCCGTCCGAAAGGCGTATGATCCGATGAACTGGACACCGGATCCCAATGGATTGCGGTTTTCGCACACCACCCCGCTGCCTTGCAGGTCAGGCTTTGGTTAGCCAAAGGCTCCGGTTGTGGATTCTTCAAGAAAATTCACCTGCCTTGGCTTGGGTAACCTGACAGTATTCGGCCCACTTGCGAATCGTGACGCTTTTTTCTTTTTATAAAGATTATTGTACCACGATTTGCTTGGCATCAGGTGTGATATGTGTATATATATATATATATATATATATATATCTTGTTTCTAAAATAGAACAGCAGTTCCTAATGACTTTGGGGTTAACCTCATGTGCAGTTCACCGTACAGTAATGTGTAATATAAAGAGAGCGGACACTTCCACCAGTGCACCCAGACTTCCCGCTTTCTGGTTGAATAATCACACCTTTTACTTTTAAAAAAGCAGCTGCTTCTATTAACCCCTAAATTGTCAATAACTCATTTGGGCGACGACGGTTCTAAATATATCCGACAAAGGCCTATAGAAATTCTGAAGCCCTGTCTTCATTTCCCTTACCTTGTTACTTCAATATAGTAAGCACGTGAAGTGTGATGTTGTTCAGCAGAGCAACCACTAAACTAAGAATTTCCAATGGTACCCAAATTTCCAGGCTCTGCCATAGTGCACAGACTGATGAAAGTATGTGAGAAACCAAACGGAAACGATCGCTGTTCAAGAATTTTTTTCATTATTTCATTTTCTGTCTGCTAGTCGAGCACCATTACACGTTTCAAAAGCATGTATGGTGCTATAAGATTTTCGAATCTAACTTCAAATGTGTAACCTAACTGCTCTAATTGGAGTTCTACAGATCCGATCTATATACTATCCTCCAGTTTCACTTCTGTTAAAGATTATCTATCAACGCTTGTCATCTTATTCTTCATCCTGCCATAAGTAGTTAGCGATGTAGCCTAGTTGGTAGGTAGCAGCATGATCGATAAGAGGGTATAGACATTGAAAAATTATACAATTACTTATCAATTGAAACAGTTTACTGCTGTTCCGCGTACATCCTTGTCGCGTCTCATGTGGCCCTTCACTAAGCTCCCGTCGTTGAACAGTAAATCAACTTAACCTTATTCATTCTCCCGCGCACTGCACTAGAATATGTCGTAAAAAACATCAGAATACTAGTCAGCTAGTATTTGGAACCTGTTTCCGTAGGCACCTTGTGTGGTAAACGACTGAGATCACCAAGACAAGACTGCACCTTGACGTGATGTGATGGCTTGCGTGCCTGCATGACCCTATGAGGATGGCTTTTCATAGCCGTAGATCCAATAATGCCTGAAAGGTCAATGGGTAGAAGCCAGCTGCTTGAGCACCTGGTATCCTTCTATCCGCAACCGACCCTGGAGAGGTCACTTCAGCAAATAAACAATGTGAGGGTCAAAAACACCCCCTCTAGATGGACGTAGGAACGGGGTACCTGGAGTTTCCTTTCAACAGTGGGATAAGTCTTGCACTTCGCTGGACTGCTTCTCCCAGTTCAAGCTGGGCAGCCCCAGCCAATAAGGTGCTGTCCCGTCCACGTTCCCCTTGTCTTATCGGATGCATGAGACTAGGGGCAAATCCTGAACAGCGGGTCGACAATCAACGCACCATCGAACAAAACAATTAACCGAAACCCGAATGCCTTGCTGCGAATCGCCTGTAGAAACTCCCATACTGGTGTTCCGGTTACGCTCCCTCGTTGAATGTACGCCCCACAGCCTTGTGGGTGAGACTCTTGAGTCGAAGCTTCGGTTGAGGTTCCTCGAGAAAAACCCCTTCATCGGTGTGGACCTCCGCGAAGCATATCGTGCCCTAAAGACTTAGGCGCTCATTTGGACAACCATCTTTTCCACCTGCCTAGTTCTTCCTCTCAACCCCAAATAATCCCAGATGCCTCCTGTTTACGCCACCCATCGAATATCAATCAGTGTTTTACAAACAAGACCAGACAATCAAAAGTTATAGGATTTCAAAGCCAAAATCCCTTTTTCACTTAACCGCTTCACTGTTCGCACACTCTATCAGATTGGTCAACAAGCCGCTTTGGCTATAACCCTTGAAACTTTCAATTCAGATGTATACTGTGTCTCCGAAACGCGCATACAAGACAATACTTAATTTATCTCCCTGCGCTCTCCTGATCCAACCTCAACCTCACGATTCACCTTCCGTGTGTCGGTCAATTCGCCACCCGAGGATCGTGGTGTTGCTGAGGTTGGGATTGCGCTAAGTGCGAAGGCTGAGCGCTCGCCTCTTGACTGAATTCCAGTCAGTAGCCGACTGTGCGCTGCACGTCTCAACGGTTCAGTTCGAGTCAACAGCTACAGAACGAGGCATCGATGCTTCTTTTTAGTATCCGTGTATGCACCGACCGATTGTAGTACACCTGAAATCAAGGATGGATTCTACATGGATCTTTGTCAATTACTCCAAAGTTTTCGATCAACGGACGTCGTAGTAGTCGCCGGATTACTCAAGTGGGATCCCTGGACGAATCAGAAAGGCTTCTTGGCGGACCACATGCAATCCCAGCCAACGGGACGGACAACGGAGATCGCTTACTTCAACTCTGCGCGGACCACAGACTGCTCCTGTCAAACACGAACTTCTCACCCAAGAAACGACACTACCTTACATGGAAACCACCAACCTCTTGATAGCGCTGGACCCAAATCGACCACATCCCCATCGGTTACCGCTGGAGGGGGTTGATTCAAGACTGACGCTCTTACTGGTCAACACCTGTGGATAAATACCACGCTTTGCCGCGAGCCACATTCTCCCTACGCCTGGCAAACAACCGTAAATAGCCACAGAAAACCGATACCCACGATAAAATGTCAATGATTGTTGCAAATCGGCCTTCGAAGCGGAGCTCTCCGATCGCCTGTCAGTTCAGCCACCAGTCGGAGGACCCAATGAACATTGGAAGCAAGTCAAGGGAGCTATGCAAATATCGATCAAACCAACGTCGAACCCTGGTGCAGGCTCAAAACGAAAACGATGGATCTCGTCGACCTCGGCTGCCCTGCTGGATGCTCGCAGAACCCTTCCTCCTGATGCCAAATGCGACACAGCGGGCAAATCCCTTCAGCGCCAGCCCATCAAGAGTCTGAGGAATGATCGGGAGAAGTGGTAGATTGGAAAGTTCAGAGAAATGCAGAAGGCTGCGGTTATTGGTAATAGTCACAATTTTCTTCGTGTAATTAGGAATACGGGCCCCAGGAAAACAGGCGTGAGGTAATTAAGCAATCTGATGGCACACCGATTCACGATCAGCAACGCCGTCTTGTCCGTTGAGGTGAACACTTCAAGGCTCGGTCCAACTAGCTCCCATCGACAGCTTATCTTTCAATCTCCGCGTCGACTGGACAAATACTCCCAGTCGATGCTAGTCCTCCATCTGAAATGCAGGTTTCTCTGGAAATAAGCAATCTCAAAAGGTATAAGGCTTCCGGCCCCGACGGGCTGTCCCCATCGGTTTTTAAGGATGGAGCGCTAGCCTTGGTTTTGGAGTTAACAAAACTCCTGGGCTTAATGTGGGAAAAGGAACAGGTTCCAACTGAATGGTGCGAATCGGTGATCATACCGATTTACAAGAAGAGCGACCGGTTCTCTTGTGAAAACCACAGAGCAATTAGTTTAATTAACATTGCCTCTAAACTTCTCGCTGGGATCATAATCCGTCGAGTATCTGCCGCTCGCGAAGAGTGCACACGTGAGAACCAGGGTGTTTTCAGACCTGGTCGAGGTTGTATCGACCATATCATTACTCTTCGTCAACGTCGGGAGCACCTGGATTCTTTTCGTAGACCCACCATCTCTGTATTCCTAGATCTGAAAGCGGCTTTCAACTCGGTTGACCGCTCTAAACTCTGGCGCTGTCTTTCTCTGAGAGGTTTGTTCGAGAAGTTAATCTCAATATTACGATCGCTTTGTACTAATAACCGAAGCCGACTCCGAGCGTACGGCACTTTTTCGCCCGAGTTAACCACGGAAAGTAGTGTTCCTCAGGGTTGCCCTCTTTCTTCTTTTACATTCAACTTTGTTATAGATTTGAATATGGAAACAGCCCTATGCTCGTGCGAGGATAGCGGTATCGATTTACTCTCAGGTGGCAGACTGTCCGATGTAGAGTACGCAGACGACATTGTACTGCTAAGTGAAGATCCAGGTAAGTTACAAGCATTTCTGGATCACTTGAATGCCAGCGTAGCCGTATTCGGCGTACGTTTTGCATCTTCAAAGTGTAAAATGTTACTACAAGATTGGGTTGGCCCAGCACCCAGCCTCACTCTCACTGGGGAAGTAATAGAGCAGGTGGATAAGTTTTGTTATTTGGGCAGCTACATCTCACCCGGTGGACGCATCGCAGATGAAGTGTCTGTGCGCATACAGAAGGCTCGGTTGGCATTTGCCAACTTGAGACNTGAAGGGTCGAGTGTATGCTGCAGCAGTTCGGCCAGTCCTGCTATACGGTGCAGAGACTTGGCCATTACGGGAACAGGATACAAATAGACTGTCTCTGTTCGAACACCGCTGTCTACGTCGCATTGCACGAATCTGGTGGGGTGGCCGGATGAGCAATGCTGAGGTTAGGGGCAGAGTTTTGGGTATCCGCGGTCGCCCACTGGAGCAAGTATTCGACCTCTATAGATTATGTTGGTTGGGGCATGTGTTACGCACGTCACCAGATAGGTTTCCGCGGTGAGCGATGTTCGCCGAAGCAGATGCCGAGTGGAAAAAAGCCAAGGCTAGTCAAGCTGAAACTTGGCACAAGGGTATGAAAACCCTAACCAGGAGACCCAAATGCTAGAACGTCACAAATTCCCATTCCCTTTTTTGGTCTTTGTCCTGTGCTGTCTTATTGTGATCCTTAGTGAATCGTTACTCGAAGACCCAGGGTCCCGGTGGATGGTTCGCACAATCTAGCCGTAAATTCTCGTGACTAACGAGTTCACTGCTACTGTGCTCCACAGAAAAGTGGGACAAGTTTTTTTTAATAATGTTTCGCTGCTTGACCTCGTGCATTTTTCGTCTATAGTCTAGTCGGGATAAATGCAGTCCGTTTTTAACTTGAAACAAACATTTATTTTTCTAGCCTAGCGAACTACCCGTTGTATTACATCGGAATTCATCTGCCATCAACTGTAACTTAATTCGACTATGTCCCGAAAAGCACGTGTGGAATATGTTCAAAACAGTGAACCGGCTTTTATCCGTCAATTCAAACAGCGTGCCGGAATCCCTATCTCCGATACAGTCGATTCGAAGGTGAGCAGCGCTTCCGTTTCTTTGTGAACAGACAAATGTAATTTAGCATGCAAATGAATTTCTTGTGATTTGAATTCGTTGCGTTTAGATTCATTGAGTGTATCTTGAAAATGGATTATTTAGCTGTTTTAGTAATGCTTTAGTCGATAACCGTGCTATGTTCAACTTCCTTCTTTTGTTTTTTAAGTGAGCCATCTTCCGTAACAATATGCTTCTACCCGGGTTGTTCTCAGTTGATAGTTGTCTCAACCCTTTCGCTTGAACCCATCGTAACCGGCCTCAACATCCATCAATCGGATGTTTTATGTTTATGAAGAGATCATTGTCTTCACAGCGCTAGCCTTCTCGTGTGTATATATAGACGGTCGATCATTCGGCAGCACCGGATCGGGCAAAGCAACCTTTTAATATCCTTCCGACTTCATCTTTATGCGCAATCTTTACGTCATTCGATCAGCCACACACTTGACAGGCATCTGGCTCGAGTTTCACTCTTGTTAGCGGGTATCCACCGGCCCATTTGAGATTTGAACTTCATATCCCCACGCATAAGAAGCGTTTGTTCCCACTATGTCAACCATCCCAGACCAGGATTGACCAGAATAGTTTAATTAAGTTCATACAAATGTCCTCAATGAAAATAACTGAGCATTGTGTGTGAAACTGAAGTCTGCAGATAGTTCCATCAAAATCAGTAACGCTTATTCCAAGTCACCACTCACAGTTAACTGGCTCAAGTATGAATCCTGTATATAGTTTTCCTGGTCGCGAGGATAATAGTACACTATTTTTCAGTATCGTCGTAATGGACGTTTCTTACTTAAGTGTGGTACTTACTTAACTTTACTGCGTTTGGCTGCTTGGGATAAGCCGGCTCCAGGCGTGATCATGCAGTTACTTGAGAGTTTGGTACGAGACGTCCCTAGTGTCACTTAAGGGTGGTACCGATGCATTTTTGAATTGCTTCACTCCACATTTGTTTTCACGATACATTAAACGTTTTACTTGTGGTATGAAACGCAGCGTTTTGCCCATTCCTGTTCCTTTCCCAACAGCGATCTCAACTGCCCCATGATGATGGTGATCACGGGGATCGTCCCGAAGCACGAGCCTTTTTGGCTGACTGTGCGATCAAAGAGAAAGCAAAAGTTGATCCCAAGAATGACGGCAGTTCCGAATTGTCGTCTGTCGCAGGTTTGTAATAATTTGATTGATATTATTATTATTCATATTATTGATATTATTATTATAATATAGAACAAATGATCGGCTGTGCACTCCATAAACAACTTCGTTGGTTCCTTTATCTTTCCCCTACTCCCCAACACACACACCTACATGCATACAGATTTTGTAGGTCCACGCATGTTGGAATCAAGCCCAACCCGCATTGTATTTCGACCGTCTTCCGAAAGGACTACAAATCGCCACGACTCTGAATCTCACCGTAAAAAACCGGATGGAACTCACGTGATCAGAGAGGCTAGTGACGAAAGAGATCGATCTCCTCTCAGAGCAAACAAACCGTCCGGTGGCTTTCTGTCTTTTGATCCTGATGAAGATGATGAATGAAAATGAATTTGTACAGACTGATATTTCGTATACTGTCTATTCGTATACATATTTATACATGTAAATTAATGGTTTCTGCTTTGTTCTGGTAACTTGATTATTTGCTCCTGTCTCATTGGTTTATCCTCCCATGCCACCCCACTCCACCCCCAATTCATGAAAAAGCAGTGCCTCGGGGATCCTAAGAAGACAGCATGGCGAACGCGAGTTACCAAGCAAGGAATGTGTTTGTGGTAGAGGCACTGTTCATCTTCGTCTCTTTGTATTTACCATTTAAAAAGCAAGCCCAAGTATCACTGCGTTCGCAGATGTTAAATACTGCCCCTCCTCCTCCTTGAGAGTTTCTTCTTGATCGCCACGTACTAGAGATGAATATGGTTTATCAGATTGTTCAGCCCTGTGATGGCAGCACACGATTACCCTTACTCGAGACAAAAAGTGGGCCACTCGGCCCAGCCTACACATGCGCAACCGGAACTAATACGACAGTAGTATCACGTTTACTTGGAATACCTGAAAAATAACCGATATCGTTGATTCGAATAAATGAGAAAAGTGCCGCTCCAAGAAAGATGCCCTTCAAGACCACCGCCTAACCGTCTGAATCTTAACTAGTTTGCTACTCCAAGTCCGGTTCGCTCCTTTTAATCATTACTCTTGTACTATTGATGGCTCCCCAAATAGTAGTAACCCTTTATCCGCAACATTAGAAACGCCATTGAATCAGACCCCAAAGCACATTTGACGCTTTCGAAGGATTGTCAGGCCGATAACAGGGGGTGATCGCTGTTACGTTCACGCCGCCCCATGCGGCAGTTTTGGGTTCCAGGCTAGATAAAAAAGTAGAAAGAAGATTTTATTGTCGAGAGCACACTTGATGTGAAAATAAGGAACTCATATAGACCAAGGTCCCAAGGATAATGAATAAATGCACGAGCACTACTGCCGACACTGACATTCATCCACATCACTCAGTATTTCTAACCATTGATTACGATCATCCCGAGGTCCCCAACAGAGAGCCTAAGGTTACCTATGTGACCGAGTCTCCTGGTTGATGTTTTCATACCTCGTTGCCTTATTTTGACCTCTCCTGGCTTTATTCTACCCACTACCTACCTCGGAAAACATCGCTCGCCATGGCAACCTATGTGGTGGCATACGCAACGGGTGCCCCAATTAACCTAATCTATGGAGGTCGACCATTTACTCCAGTGGGCAAACGCGGCTACCCAAAACTCTGCCTCGGACCTCAGCATTGCTCGTCCGACTGCCCCACCAGCCTCGTGCAGCGCTGCGTAGACAGCGGCGTTCGAACCCCCAGTCTACCTTTATCCTATTTTCTCAATAGCCAAGTTTCTGCGCCGTANGCCGAACTGTCGCATCATACACTCGACCCTTCACAGACAGCCGGATGTCGTGACGGCACCACAGATGTCTTAAGTTGGCAAATGCCAACTGAGCCTTCTGTGTGCGATCTGACATTTTATCTGTGATGCGTCCGCCGAGTGAGACGTAGCTGCCCAAACAGCAAAACCTATCCAGTTGCTCTCTTATTTCTTCGGTTAGAGTAATGCTGGGTGCTGGACCAACCCAGTTTTGTAGAAATATTTTACACTTTGACGGTGCAAAGGGCTTACCGAACATGGCTACGCTTGCACTCAAACTACCCAAAAATGCTTGCAACTCATCTGCATCTTCACTTAGCAGTACGATGTCGTCTGCATACTCCAGATCAGACAGACTGTATTCTGGGAGCAAATCGATGACACCAGCCTCGCACAAGGATAGGGCTGTTTCAAGAATTAAATCGAAAATTACGTCCCATACAAAATTAAATAAAAAGGAAAGAAGTGGAAAACCTGGAGCACGCCGCTTTCCTTGATGGCCTCGGGAGAAAAGTGCCACAAGCTCTGGCTCCAATTCGGTTAATATTGTAAAGAGATCGCAAGATATAAATAAAATTCTCGAGTACACCATTCAGGTACGGGTAGCGCAGAGTTTAAAGCGGTTTTACTGATTCGAAAGCCGCTTCCAGATCTAAGAAGACATCACTTCTTGCAGTCATTCCTCAGGCTCTTGATGAGCTGGCGTTTACGGTGCTCAAGGCACCAGCGGGAATGGTTCTGCGGGCTTCCAGGAAGGCAGCCGATGTCGAGGAGATTCATCGTGCTCCAGAATATGCCGTTGTTTTGATCGACATTTGGATAATTCCCTTGGTTAACTTCGTGTTCGTTGAGTTCTTCGGCGGCTGGTTGAACTGAAAGTCATTGATACAACCATTTCCTACACTGTATTGTGAGCATCCGTTTCCGGTTAAGTGCCGGGCGTAAGTAGAATCTGGCTCGTAAAAGAGCATGGTTCGTGCTCGCAGATGTTAACCAG